CTCCCAGTCCCTCCCAGTCCCTCCCAGTCCCTCCCAGTCCGTCCCAGTAACCCCAGTTTCCCCAGTACTGGTCGGTGGAAGAGGCCGTGGCCACTCGTGAGGCCCTTCACGGGGTCAAGTGGCCCCAGTCCAACCCCAAGGTGCTGGCGGCCGACTTCGCCCAGCAGGAGGAGGTGACTGGGAGCACTGGGAGCACTGGGAGGGACTGGGAGGGACTGGGAGGGGATTGGGAGGGACTGGGAGGGACTGGGAGGGGATTGGGAGGGACTGGGAGCTACTGGGAGGGACTGGGAGGGACTGGGAGGGACTGGGAAGGGGTTAAAGGGCTTTAAGAGGGAATTGGGGGGCACTGGGAGGCACTGGGGGCTACTGGGAGTTACTGGTTTGGGGTCTGGGGGTCACTAGAAGGGACTGGGAGGGACTGGGAGGGGATTGGGAGGGACTGGGAGCGACTGAGAGGGACTGGGAGGGTGTTTGAGGGTCACTGGGTTATACTGGTTTATACTGGGAGGCGTTTGGGAGGCGTTTTGGAGGTTACTGGGTTATACTGGGAGGGACTGGGAGGGGACTGGGGGGGGATTTGGGGGGACTGGGAGGGGATTGGGAGGGACTGGGAGGGGACTGGGACTGCACTGGGAGGGGATTTGGGAACACTGGGAGGGACTGGGAGCTACTGGGAGTTACTGGTTTGGCATGTGGGGGACACTACAAGGGACTGGGAGGAACTGGGAGGGACTGGGAGGGGATTGGGAGGGACTGGGAGGGACTGGGAGGGACTGGGAGGGGGGGGGGGTCATTTTTGGGGTCGTTTCTGGGTGTTTTGGGGTCATTTTGGGGTTTTTTTTGGGGTTATTTCTGCCTTATTTGGGTTATTTTTGGCTCATTTTTTTTCCTAATTTTGTGTCATTTCGGGGTCGTTTTTGGGGTGATTTCACTCATTTTTGGGCTCATTTCGGGGGTTATTTCTCCCTTATTTGGGGTCATTTTTGGGGTTATTTCTGCTTTATTTAGGGCATTTTTGGGGTAATTTTTGGGGTGAATTCTCCCTTCTTTGGGGTCGTTTTTGGGGTGATTTCACTCATTTTCGGGCTCATTTTTGGGGTCATTTTTAGCGTCATTTTTTCTGTTAATTTTGGGTCACTTTGGGGTAATTTTGGGAGGTTATTTTTGCCTTATTTGGGGTTATTTTTTGGGTAATTTTGGGGGTAATTTTTTTGGTTAATTTTGGGTAATTTTTGGGGTAATTTCTGGGGTAATATCAGCCTTATTTGGGGTCTTTTTTTGGTTAATTTTGGGTCATTTTTTTTC